CTGTCCCAGACCCCATTTCTGGTTTAAGATAAATCAGACTCCTCCAGCATCCTGGCATGGTCCCTGGGCTGGGTGGGGCTCTCTGCAGCACAGCAGGGCTGGCCCCTCCCCTCTGCTCCCTGGCTGGAGCTTGGCAGAGACTGCAGGCATCTGCCTGGCTTGTGCTCCCCCCTCCCCTCTAAGCAGGGATTCTGCCGTCCCCTCTGCCTTACACAGACACACAGTATTAACTAGCAGACTGCATGCTGGCTACGGTCTGTGCTGTGGCAGACAGGACAAAAGTAGAATCAACAGGTAGCTGGTAATGTCCCTGTGTTGTTTTCTTAATGGGGTGGTAAACGCTGAGTTTGGGGTGATAAACACAGTGTTATCAATTCCCTGCTGGATTGGTCAGAAGGGGTGGGAAGCCTTCCCTAATCAGAGCACCCTGCCAGGGACTGGCCATGCCCCCCCATCTCAGCACTGTAGAAGAGAAGGGAGGGCTGCTCTAGCACCCCCTGGCTTCTAGCCTTAGCCACTGCAGGCATGTGCCTGCATGTCTGGCATGTCTGTGGTTTAACCTAGCCATTAGACTAACCTGAAAAGATTGAATCAATTCAGGCTCAGGCTTTTTGAATGTCTATCCCTAGTCCTAGAAATTTTAATCTTGAGTAGGCTGACTCCTTCTGCCTTATCTTTAATGGTGTATTGTTGTCCTTCCTGAGCAAAAAGAAGCTTAAAGGGATAGTCCCATGAATGATGTGTGCCCCTGGAGGCTGGTGGGGTGTGGCAACCGCCCACAGGCAGCTGCGGGAGTGGCAGTGGTGAGGATGTGGCAGCAGCAAGTGGGGAGCTCTTGCAGGCAGCCACGGTGGTGTCGGTGGGGAGGGGAGGGATGGTGAACACCGACCAGCAGTCGGTGACCACCTGTAGATGCCGCTGCTGGCAGTGGCAGTGGCCAGTGGCAGTCAGCAACCACCCACAGATGCCACTGGCAGTGTCAGCAGTGTGGGGGGTGGTGAGCGGCAACCTCCCACAGGCACCATTGGCAGTGGCCAATCGCAGGGGGTGCACTGCCAATCTCACGGGGTGCACTTGAACCCATGTGCATCCCCTATGCATTGACAGTGGATAGTCCCACCTGTATTTTATCTTTGCATCTCAGACAGGTTGTAATCTCTTTCAGTTCGTGTCTTTTTCTTCAAGTGGGGTATGATAAACTTAAATACGTTAATTTTAATAACATTAAATGTATTTGTGAATATTGTTTGATTAGCTCTGCTTAAGATAGATCAGAATACTAGAACTAGAGGACACCCACTGAATTTAGTAGGAGATAGGTTTAAACATAAGAGAAAGTACTTTGTTACAGAGCACACAAGTAACTTGTGAAATTCATTGCCACAGGAGGTGGTAGAGGCAGATAGCATTTGCATAATAGGTGGTACATTTGTGGGATTGTGCGTTAGATCCCACCATGCCTTATTCCCAGTGCAGAGGAAGCCCAGGCTGGGATCACAATCCCAGGCTCCCCCTGCAACCGGCTCCTGCAGCTTCATGCCCCACAGCTGATGCGGCTCAGGACGGCTTGGAGCGGAGACAGCATTTCCCGTGCTGCGCTTGCTGAGGGGCCTGCATCCAACATGGGCCACAAACATCATCAGCTGTGGAGCAGCATGGGGAATGCTGTCCCAAATGCAAACCTCATGAGGTGTGGAGCTCATGAAGGGGGAAGGGGGAAGGAGGAGGGGCAATGTTCTCCCCACTGCAAGCCCCGCAGCTGGCAATGCTGCCACCACTGTGAGTCTTGTTAGCTGTGGGGCTGGCTGCAAGCCTTGTTAGCTGCGGGGCTGGCTGCACGTGGTGCACCCTGTGGCTACAAGCTCCTCAGTTAATGGGGCTCCCAGCCACAGGGGACCACTTGACCACACATTCAGTTAATGGTGTGATTAGAACAAGCTGCAAAGTTATTATACATTTTAGTTGAATAACTTTTTAGCTTATTGCTTGTTTTATCATGCCATTAAATGGTTAAATGTGTAACTGGGCCACAGCTTAAGGTGTGATTACCTGATTTATCATGCTTTAAGTGTAACATGTAGAGGGGACTAAAGAGAAACACATATGAATAGATGTCAAAGTGCATTTTCTTTTGTTATGGGCTGCCCTGAAGCAAGGACAATTAATTTAAAGCTCACTTAAATTAGGGGCAAGGTTGCCTTTGCATGTTTTGAAGTCACTGCAGATAGCTGTGCAACAATTATATTGTCCTCACTCTTTTCCAAATTCCATATTTCAGAATTTGTTTCCAATGTGAGGGAAGTCCAATTTTCTCACTCTAAAAAAGCTTTTTAGTTTGGATGTCCCTTATTTTCAGTTTGGCCCATTTTTGTGTGAATGACGTTTTAGTCTCTATTTTATCTCCACTTAGAAAATGAAGCATTGTTACTCTGCTCTCTGGCTATTGAAGAAGGCCTCTTTAGTCCATTTTCTAGTGTTATTTATAATAAAGCTTTCCCTGATCTTGCTATTGGTACTGGCCTTATTTACTGCTTTTTTCTATCTCTCCAAAAGTAAAACTCTTGACATAGACCATTAGAGAAATGAAAATGACTTATCCATAATTTTTCTTCTCTGAATTTAGCTTTTCAACTGTGTTACCATTCATCCATCCATCTCTCCCCAAAATTTGAGGATCAGCTGCTTCTCCAAAGTTTTCTACTTTTGTTTTAATTTGGGGAAAGCAGGATATTTTTATCATGTTATATGTATTTATATGTGTAATACTTTTTAATTGACATCATCAGGGGAGCTTCTTTTATGCTGAAGAACTGAAGATGCTGGCTGTAATATTGGGCAAATGGTATTTATATTTTGTTGGGGGTGGGACATAACTTCCAATAAACTCACACTCTAACCCTTGCGCCACTACTCTGTGGAGTCAGTAAGCTTTAAACACTCTGTTTTCCACCATTCTTGCTCTCACAAGCTAAGAGACAAGTGTGACGATATTTTCAGAGGAACTAAACAACAAGTAAGTAATTTATCCTAGTTTTTCTGATTTATAGTCTTTGTAATTACACTTGCAAAATGTTTATTTTAAACCTCTGCAGCTGGCTTCTCCAGTCTTATGATATAATCTCTAAATTTTAACTACTTTAAGAGCTCACATGCATCCTTCCAAGGCACAACTCTTAGTTTCATTTCTTATATGATTATATATGACAAAGCTGTAAGGGAGATAAATGTCATCTGAAGGTTGATAGGTAAAATTGACATATTAAATTATGCTCTGAGTCGGTGTAAATTTATGTTCTGAATCAGCTAGTAAAGCAGTGAATAACTTCCTCATGTATTTGACTAAAAAAAAAAGAGATAGTGCAGGGGTCAGCAGCGTTTCTGGCCTGAGTGCCAAAAACAACCCAACCCTGAACCATGCCTTGACTTGGTGTACTGGGGCAGATTGTGGGGGAGCCACAAGGGGCCCAATTTTCATTGCTAGAGGGGCCTGTATGTGCACCTCTGGGCAAATGGTGGGGTAGAAATTGGGGTTGTGTTGCCGTGGCCCCTTCCCCACTCTGTGCCCTGAGGTGCACATGCAGTTGCCACTGGCATGGAACCAGTGCTGGGGATGCAAAGCTCAGTGCAGCTGTTTGCAGCCTGCCTGCCACCTGCTACAGCTGTCCAGAGCCTGGGCTGGGCGCTGGGCAGTTGCAGCAAGTGGCAAGCAGGCTGCAAACAGCTGATCCGGAGCCCTGGCCAGGCTCTGTGGTGGTGGTAGCTGCGCACATATGTCCAGGTTGGACAGCAAGGAAGGGGCCGGAGTTGCACTGCCCCAGGCCCCTCCCCCAGCGTTGGCCTAGAGACAAGCCCAGCCTGGGCTCTTGAGCCCAGTACAGCTGTTTGTAGCCTCCTGACTGCAGCCGGCCTGGGCTCTGGGCAGCTGCTGCTAACCATGGAGCCCGGGGTGCTTGTAGAAGGGCTCACAGCCTCCTGGCCACCTGATACAAACAGCCTGGGCTCCATGGCCAGAGGCAGCTGCCCAGAGCTCAGGCCAACTGTGGTGTGCTGAGAAAATGGCCTGGTGTGCCATGCTCTGACATGTATGCTGGGGGTTGCTGGCCCCTGGGATAGTGACTGCCAGGCCTGCAACACCAAAGCATATACCACTTGGTAGTAATATATTTTCTTTAATACTCCCTCTTAACTACATATGCCACTAGGTAGCAGTATAACAAAAGTACTCATCTAGCTGTGTTCACATTACAGGCCTAGCATTGCTTATCCTCTTTTTCTACCAGATGCAGCATAAACTTACTGTATTCACTGCATTTACTGACTCGGAACATAAATTTACATCAGCAGTGCCCAGGCTAAATGATTTTAATCTCCAGAATTGTGAATCTGGCAAATTTTATTATCAATTCTGAACTGCCTTGTGGTGGAATGGATTTTGCTATTTAACAAGGGCTAGATTGAATCTTTACCTCTAGCCTTGTATAAGAGGGGACAGTTTGCATAGTCATTTCCATGCTTATCCCCAAAAAGCAGCCTAAGAAAGAAATGGTATCTCTCTACCATATTACTTTTCCTGCTTCTTTCAGGTAAATCATTTCTTACCAGACATAGATTGTTCTCCTTCCACTTCTCCAAAATGCCAATGTAGTGTTGGAGTAGTTTTTTCCCCCTCCTCACTTTTCTGGTAACAGGGTGGGATATAGCGGCCATTTGTACTTGCTCTTCTTTCCTATATCTGAATTACAAATGTAGGGATGTGCCCAGTAAGACAGGGAAGGGAACAGCTATGTTTCTCCTCATACAGCCACATACAATTTGGCCTTATTTGGACCAATGCAATTAGCTCTGTATGCGATGAAAATGAAAATAATCTCTATTCTGTGGAGTTTCCGATCTGTCTGATGACCTACAATTTTTCACACATCTAAGTTCTGTGATTATACAAAGCATTCAAGTTACCTGTGATTTCTGAAATATTCTTAATGCCTTAATGTAAATTGCAGATATCAAAGTAATACAGCAGCTGATGTTCTGGATACCATTACCAATATTCAACCCAAGGAAGGTGGAGGAGGAGCAGGAGAAACCCGTGAAGCCATTGTATACCGATTAGCTGAAGATATGCTGGACAAACTGCCTTCTGATTACATACCCCATGAGGTGAGGTCATTTAAAAAAAATCTGTGGAGTTTTCATATAAGAAGTTGGGGGGTGGAAAAATCTTAAAATCGTTCTATAAACAAAGGACACTATAATTAGTGACACAGCCATCTTACTCCATCTTCTCAGTTGGTTTGAATAGAATTTAAACGTTTGTTAATTAAAATAAATAAGCTTCTTGTCATTCTGGCAGTGAAGATAAACTGACTCTGAATGGGTGTTGTGCTGTCTTCCTGGGTCTGCAGAAACACCCTGAAATAACACTGAGAGTAAATTTGCTTCGTTTATTGTGAATGGTGAGGTAGCAACTCTCTGTTCCTGCCTCAAGACAACAGGTAGAACAGGAGAACTCTGAGCAACACTGGCATTTATCATTTCATCTTGCAAAAATAGGTGATTGTGTGTGTGAGGGGGAACCTCCTTGTCTTAAATTTGAGTACTGGCCTAGGTCAGGTGACGGGTCAATTCTAGCTTCAGCCCCTGAGCTGGCCTACCCCAGGCTGGGGTGGCTTGTGCAGCAGGGGAGGGGGCATGTGGCAGGGGGAGCACAGGGGAGACTGTGCAGTTGGAACAGGCAGGAAACTATGGCTCCTTACCCCCACCACTGCTTTCTCTGTCACAGCTGTGAGAAGGATGAATTTAAAATGATCCTCTAATAGTTAGATTCTGTACATGGAAAATTATAAAATATAATTTTCCATGTACAGAATCTAATTATTGGAGTGTTTTTGTAAATTATAACACATTTATAATTTTCCAAATCTAGAATCAGTAATCTAATTTTGGGGTGATTGTCTTAAATTTGAAGCGGTCTTGGATTTAGGTACGTGCAGTATCAAGTGAATTAAATTTCTCCAATAGGGACAAAGAATTAAAGAACTCTAAAGACTAAATAATTCCTACTAGCTGGAGCTGTAAAGGCTTTTGAATCAAGTGCAGGAAGAAAATGGAAAGTTTCACTAAGCAGATAAACCTGCTTTCAGTGCTTCTAAGGTTCTTGGAGGAAAAGCAAAATGTAAAGATATATAGGGGCACTGCATTTGGAGAACCTGATATTATTAAGCAGAGTTGATCAACTAATATTCAAAAATAGATTGTATAATATTAAAATAACTTTTTTTGCTTTTAATTATTTTGCTGATAATAAGCCTTTGGGTTTTTGGAGGATTTTTTTAAATTTGAATTTACTGATAGGCCAACCTGGTCACCTAATCGTCTTCAGATTATGAAGTCTCACTGTTTGAGCTACAAACTGTGATTGTTCATTCGTGTGTTTCATGTAACGGTATTTGGATTTGGAATAGTCAAGTCAAACTCAGAACTTCAGTCATGGCTTGCAGGTATCAGACTCTAGGGGTCGCTCTAACTGAAGTGCCCAGAGTGTCTTGTGTATTAGTATCCTGCGCTTAAATATGGTGGTAGGGTTGCTTTAACTAAAGTTCATTCAATGAGTTTTAGTTAAGGTGCCCCCGCCAACATTTTTAAGGTCAGGGACACTGGTACACAAGACACTGGAGTCTGCTGGAGTACAGCAATTACCGTGCTCCAGCAGACTCGATTAATTGAGCATACTCCAATGTGGTGTAATTACAGAGCATTAGAGCAGCCTTCCTGCCTGTGTATAGGTGCCCTAAGAATCTATATGCTGCACTAAAACTGCTTAGTTTCACTATCACAAATGTTTCCTTGCCTCATTTTCCATAAGACTCTTTTGCCTATTTCTTCCTTTTTCTTTCTCTCTTTCCTCCTCTCTTTTTCTCTCTCTCTCTCTTTCTTTCAGCTCTAAGAAGCACTGTCCTGATGCAAACATGGCCCTAAACTCTCATCACATCTTTAATCACTCCTTGTCAGAGTCTTTATCCCCTTAGAGAAAATCAGGCTGATAAAAATGTTGACTTCTTCTGAATCCTCACCTCTGTCTAAAAAGGCCACCCACAATCTCAAGTAATAGCACTATTGATAACTTTTCTCAGTGCTGTGATATTGAACTATTATATACGCCAGTATTAATTGCAAAATTTTAAAATTTAACTTGCTTCTTCACATTCCTGTATTTTAGGTAAAGAATCGTTTAATAAAGATGGGACACCTTAATTCTATGAATATTTTTCTTCGTCAAGAAATTGATCGAATGCAAAAGGTTATCTCAATACTCCGAAACAGTCTGTATGATCTTAAACTCGCTATAGAAGGAACCATTATTATGAGCGAGGCAAGTGATGAACTCTATCGTATTAAAAAATACTCTCTTTAAATAGAACCTATCTCAGTTGAACCAATTAATACATTATGATTTTTCACTTTTTCAGAGTTTGAGAGATGCACTTGACAATATGTATGATGCTCGAATTCCTCAGATGTGGAAAAGAGTATCTTGGGATTCTTCTACACTTGGGTTCTGGTTTACTGAACTTCTAGAAAGAAATACTCAGTTCTCTACCTGGATATTTGAAGGGAGGCCACCTGTTTTTTGGATGACTGGATTCTTTAATCCACAAGGTACTGTACTGACTTGAATCCAAGATGAAGTGCCCTCCCCCGTTTAACATGTGGGGGGAGCCTAGTCTTGGATTTGAGTACTGAAGTTGCTGCCTGGCTTGGATCAGAGGGGCTCAGGGGGGCTTGTGTGGCAGAGAAGATAGCATAGGGGAGCATGAGGGGAGACTGTGTGGTTGGAGAAGTGCTAGAGAGACTATATGGTGTTTGGTGGTAGGAGCATACGGAAGACTATGCAGTGTGAAAGAGACTACAGGGGAGATCAGGCAGCAGCAGGGGAGCTGTTGCAATCCAAATCCAGCCCCAACTCAGCTAGGGGAAGAGCTGGACTTGCCACTGCTGCTACCTGGCCAGGACCAGAGCTGGAGCCAGAGCTACCACAGGGTAATCTGCAGCAAGCAGGGTGGGCACCAGAGGAGGGCAAGTGGCAAGGGGAGGTGGCAGGGAACAGGTGCTAGGGAAAGAAAGCGGTGTGGTGGTAGAAGTGGGGGCAAGGGGTTGGGATAAGGCTGCTTGTCCCTCCTGCCACTGCTTTCTCTACTTCAGTGGTGTGGGAGGACAAATTTAAGGTGATGTACAATTAGATTGTATACATGGAAAATTCTAACAAACTTACAATTTTCCATGTATAGAATTTAATTCTTGGGAGGGGTCATCTTAAAGTTGAAGTCATCTTGGATTTGGGTAAATATGGTAGTTAAAGTACTGGCAATACTTGAATAAAACTTATTGTTTGCCCTTAGCACTGCCCCCACCCCCACACTTTCTGCTCTGTCCTTTGTATTTTGTATGTGTATTTTGTAAGCATCTGATGATGTGAGCTTGGGCTCATGAAAGCTTATACATCTCTGATTTAGTTAATCTATCAGGTGCATCTGTACCATGCCTTCTGCCTGATTTATAGTACAGTATACTGTATTTGACTACTATTTGATGCATCTTATTACATATGTAATTTCATTCTGTATATTGAAAAACAGATGAAAACATGAGAAATAGTAGTTTTTCAGTTCATGAATGATAAAGTTCTGTTTAGTGACATAACATAGTGACAAACTTAATGGTATAGCTCCTAAAGAAATATGTTTTATTTCCCAGTTTCATTATGATTTATAATCATTTGTGTCTTTCCAAATTGCAAGTTGCAAATATTGCAGAAATAAGTTGCAAATATAGAGCTACTTCTGTAGATTCTTCTGTAGCTTATACATCACACAATAGAAAAGAAGAAGTGAGCATACACTGTAGAAAATAATCTACATTTCATAGTAAATTAACTCCTTATAGATATTGTAAAAACTATTGCTACCTGCCAAATTTATGAATAAACAAAATTTGTAAGTCCAGATCTTTCTGGGTTACACCTCTGACGTACAAGTAAACAAAATCTAGGATTATCTTGTTTTTCTCATTGCTTTGAAGAAAAAAAATCCTTGTGTGATAAACAACTCCAATGAGTAACCAGAAACACAGCAAAAACTAGGCTGCGATGGTGAATTGCCTAAGTGTATTATCTGAATTAAAAGAAAATCAGTTTTATCAGAACATGGTACAAATTAAAAAAATGAAGCTTCCTTTGAGGTATATTTCTGAAGAAGAATCATTTCTCTAGCTGCAGCATACAAAATGCCTGTGGGGAGCTTCTCTAGTATAGCAGCTGTGAAATCTATTTTCAGCTGGATAAATCCCTTAGTTCTTCGTATATACACACAAGTTATCTTCAGTTGGTAGTTTTGCAATTCCTATTAACCTTTTTATGGGTGATGCTATGGAAACCAGTAATATCTAAGTCAATTTCCAAAGGAGATTATTGAAGTGTTTGGGTTGCATAATGCCAATATGTGAGGGTTTCCAAATTATTGTTCAACATTTTTTTTAATGTTTAGTGCCTTTTTAAGCAGATGTTATTAAAAGCAGGTCAAAACATCTCTCTACTTTTGTCATGAAGAGTACAGTTAACAAGTATATTAAAGGAGAGTCAAAGCATGCTATTATCTTATGATTCAAAAATAGCAACCAAAAGTGTCTACACTGTAAATTTACTGTGCTGTCTGCTCCTAAATTGGAAGCAGGGTAGTTAGTATGGGGAGCAGGCAAATTGGCACTATTCCTCAGCAGTGCTAATCGGCTCCCAGAGCACAGGATAGATATGGTTACACTGCCTGGAGGAGCAAAGTGTATTTGACTAGGGACAGACATTCAAAAAGCCTAAGCCTGAATTGAATCAATCTTTACAGGTTAGTCTAACCTGGCTAGGTTGAACTGGTTTGTCACCGTATAGACATCCCCTCTGGACTGAAAAAATGCAGGCACATGCCTGCAGTAGCTCATGCTAGAAGCTGTGGGGTGCTAGAGCAGCATTCCCTCCCTTCCACAGTGCTGAGCTTGGAGGCAGGGTGGGGCGGGGTGGCCAGGCTCCAGCAAGACACTCTGATTAGGGAGGGGTCCCCCCTTCACTGCTTCTGACCAGTGAGGGAGCCAGCAGGGAGTTACACATCATAAAGTTACACAGAGAGTAACACAGTGTTTATCAGCCTATCAAGAAAACAAAAGCCTCTCTCATTAGTTCAGGCTCTTCTTTTAGCTCCAAAAAGCCCTAAGCGGACACTACCCTGTCTGCCTTTGTCCTGTCTGCCTCACACCGACACCTCTCAGCATTAGCTAGCATACCACATGCTGGCTATGGTCCATGTTATGAGAGAGGGGTTGGAGGGAAGGGGGGAATCCCTGCTTGAGAAGCAAGGGTGGGGTGGGGCAGGAGGAAGCCAGGCAGACCCTGCTGTGCCTGCAGTCTCTGCTGGAGCTCCAGCGAGGGAGCAGAGCCCTGCTGTGGAGCAGAGAGCCCCACCCAGGGCTGCAAAGCATCTGGGATGCTGGGGAGGACTCTGGTTTAAGTTCAGCCAGGAAGGGGCCTAGGATAGACATTGCATAAACCAGTTTGACCCAAATCAGTTAAGTCTAATACTACATTCAACCAGGTTTATCTCAAACTGGTTTCAGTGCACTGAATGTTTGTTCTATTACCGGTTTAAACCAGTTTCTGACCACTTAAACCAGTTTATGTGTAATGTCTGTTCCTAGCCCTTGAGGGCACTGGTGTGTGTGTTGGGGGGGAGGGGCAGCCAAACAAAAAGAATGGCTGCACTTGAGGTTGAGGGTGGAAGGACAGTGGCACAGGAACTGTGGTGGCAGTAAGGGCTGCTAGAGGATTCTTCTAAGAGGAAAAAGGCCCTCCTCGAGTAAGGTAAACTAGGTGCAGGGCTGCCTTGTTCTACCAGAGCAGGAAAAAGTAGAATGATTGCATCTATGAATCAGACCCAAAATCTGTAATAGTGTTAGTAGTAGCATTATATTGGTGAAGGCTGAGGACTATGCTTGAGAGTTTTATCAGCTTGGAGTAAAAGTTTAATTCATTTTTATAATATTGTACACTACCAGCAGTAATTTTTAGAAGTTGTATGGATTTCTGTAACCCATGAACAATAGTTTTTACAGGACAACATGAACACAGGCACTTTAGCAGGTCTGGTGTTCCATTCATTATATGGCAGTGCTTGATCTCTACACATATTATCATAAGCAAAGTTTGTGTAATGTGTAACGACCAACATCAGTCTCTCCTATTTGTCTTCCTATATTTTCCACAAGTATCTTTGTGTTTTCCCCTGTATTTCCCCTCTGTATAGAATGTCTTCTTCACATCAGTTTACATGATTCTCATATTGTTCTTCCCAAAATCTCAACTCTACTGTGATGTCCATTGTTACTGGTCTAATGATAACGGTGATACAAGTGGCTTTTACCCACAAAAATGATACACTTAACTAAGGCATGTTTTCTTATGTTTCCATTGACAGCACTTAGGCTACTGTACTTCTTAAAGTTAGCACAAAAAAACTGTTTGCGGATTGAGTCTTTAAGCACCATGGGGCAAATACTGTCTTTTATTGTATGTATATACATTACCTAGCATAGGGAAGCCCCAACATCCCTCCTTTGTTGCTTTTTTTAAATTTCTGCTGTGACACCTCTACATTGCAGTTACAGTAGTTACTCTAGTTTAGTGCAGATACCTGAATTAACTTTAAACTACCTAGTTTGGATACTGGTGGTAGTCTAGTTGTGGCCATAAGAAATCAGCATAAGCTAAATTAATCTGATTCTCTGACGTGTTTCACAGCCTGTCCTGAGCTTTCTGCTGCTGATTCCAGACTGCTACTACTACCCAAGCTAAGTACTGTAAAGCTAAACCACACCAGAGTCACTGCTGTGACTGCAGTACAGATATACTTTTTGTCATTTTTAAAAATCTAGCATACACACTGTATCACCCCTCACCCAGCCCCTCTTCTTCCCCCTCCCCCCCCACCAAAAAGCTGGAAAAAGCTGTTTTTTTCTAGAACACAGGTCCTCTTTTGTTGTTCCCAGATGAGATCTACTCAGGTGTTGATAGTGCTTAACAATCAGTTAATTTACTGGGGGCCATTCTTTATAGCTAGCATGTCACAAACCAGCCATGCACCATCCCCAAGTGCCAGTTCTCTACCTCTGCCCAATCTGCTGCTCTGTTTTCAGCTCCCTGCCTGATCCATTGTGCTGCTTTATGTTTCCTGTCCCATCTATTCCTGTGCTGCCTTTCACCTCCCCAGTTTACTGTGTGCCACACACAGGCTACTTGTGCCACTTGTTGGCCAACCCTTAACTAATGCATAGATAGACAAATTAGTGCTATCCACCCCACCTTACTAGAAAGAGAATGAAGCAGTGCACAGTATAATGATATGGACAGACCACATCTACATGAATGGCTGATTGCACAGTTGTTACTACACAGTCATTTAGTATTTGCTTGACCAAGTACTAAATGACTGCACTGTAACTGGTGTTACTGCAGTCCCATCACCACACCTTTTTTTTTCAAACACTACTGCACAGTAGCAACAAACTTCTGTGCAGTAGCTTGCTGCTATTGCACAGTAGTGTCGCCATCACAGTTTGTGCCTGGCGATTCTGTGTTGCTGTAGCAATGAGCTATAGCACCATAGTGTCTCATGTAGACATGCCCACAGATCACAAAATGGAATTTAAGTTCATAAGCTGTACATAAAAGGGATTTCTCCAATTATCTTATTCCTGCAGGGGGAAAGAGTAAGCCAGAGCATCTCCAGCTTTGGTGGGAACTCTGAGGGTGGAAACTTTTATGTCTGCATAAACATTTTTGTGGTGGCACAAAAGTCAAGCAAACAGATGTTCATACTTCTTGTTGTACAACAAATACCTAAAATTTGTGACTGTGACACAGATGGTATCAATTTGCACCACTCTATTGCAGCAGATATCTGTTAGGTTTTTGGTGGGAGAGCATGCTCAGCTGAGAGCTGCCTGCACTTTCCAGCCACTCTGGGCAGACAGTCCTGGGGCTTGAGGTCCTATGTACCCCAGGAGTTTCTGGGGCTTTCCCTGGGTGCATCTCTGCAAACAGAAAAGCTCGGCTTTCCCCGCTTACAGAAACATGCCCCAGGGAATTTCCAAGGTGCATCTCTGTAAGCAGGGAACGTGTTGCCTGTTGTCTCGCAGGATCAGGCTCCTGCCTAATGCAGGATGACAGGCTACATATGCTTTGCCCAATGAAATGGATAAACAGTAGCAGGACACATCCCACCACAACTGATCTGCTTAATTTGGCAATGTCTTTTAATATCCCAAGAGCATGCAACAGTTCCAAAGAAGGCTTGAATCATAGATCCATAGGGTTAAAAAAAAACCTCAGAGATCATGTAGTTCAACCCATGCACAGGTACAGGATGTACTGTTCCTAAACCACTCCAGATAGGTGCCTACATGCCATTTCTTGAAAACCTCCAGTGAAGGAGATTCCACAAAAAAGAATAAATGGTGCCCAGTTCGCAACTTTGACAATTGTACTGCAGGGTTCCCACTACACAGAGGGGTATGAGACACAGGCATGCTTTCCAGAAAGCCAAGAGCATGTGGGACCCAAGCCCTGGGTCCATTACTGTAGCCTGATGAGCAGCCTTTCTGAGAGAATCCATCTAGACTTACAACACATAATCAGTTTTGCAGATAAAACACTAAATCTTGTGGCTTGGCATTTCAGGATTCCTGACAGCAATGAGACAAGAAGCAACTAGAGCACATAAAGGCTGGGCTTTAGATACAGTTACAATACATAATGAAGTGTTAAAGCAAGCCAAAGAAGAAATCACAACACCTCCTGCTGTATGTATGACAAATGAAAATATTTCAGTATTAATTTCAGTGCTTTATATTTTTGGATAACTCAGGATTTTCAAATTGCCATAGAACACTTTAACATTCTCTCAACATTTTTACTGTCTTAGAAGTTAAACAGAAATCATGCAAAGTTGTGGAATCGTGGGCCCCTGACAGATGTTATACTTAAGATGTGATTAACTGGTTAATCATATCTTAAGTAGTGACCTGGACACATGTTCATTCAATTAATGGTGTGATAAAATGAAAAATAAGTGTTATTACACATATTTTGTGTTTAGTGTGCCAGTCTGGCATGATGGGATCTGATGCTCAATCCCATGATTGCGCTTCCAGCCATGCACATGTGGCACGGCAGGAAGCGCGATTGTCAAAATCCTGCATCAGATCCCATCACACTTTTAAATTAATGTCAGGGGTCACATTTGCTATTTGTCGGTTTATGAAAATAAGTTCCTAAAAGGCTAATTCAAATCTTTTCATTAGGCTATACTTTCTTCTGTGTTTTCTAAAGGTCTGAAATTGAGACTTCTTGCCATATTTGCCATTTGCTAAACATGGGACAAATCTTCACTTATACAAATGTATCTGTTTTTCAGTAATGGAATAATTGTATTTTTACCATACACAAACAATTTTTCACCTGGTGAACTCAATTAGTAAAGTGCTTTTATCTCCATTTCAGTAGCATTATGTGCTGAGGCTTTTTCTAGTTATTTAATTTAACTTCCCTTTTTTCCTCTGGCAGACTTTTTTAACTGTAATACAACTTTCTCATTTTAGTGGCTTAAATCAGCTATTTATTTTGTAAGTGAAATAGTTATGTTTTATGCATAACTTATCTGCTTACTGTCTACACAGGAAGGGGTCTATATTTATGGACTATACTTGGATGGAGCAGGCTGGGACCGACGTAACAGTAAACTTACAGAATCTGCACCAAAGATTCTTTTCACACCACTCCCTGTGGTGCACATATTTGCTATTAACACAACTGGTCCTAAGGATCCAAAACTCTATGTTTGCCCGGTTTACAAGAAACCAAGGAGGACGGATCTGACCTACATCACTGTGATCTATTTAAGGACAATACTATCTCCAGACCATTGGATACTGAGAGGAGTTGCTCTTTTGTGTGACATAAAGTAAACTCTATCTTCCAAAGTATGACAGAAACACAGAATATGCAATATGTAACCGACAATATAAGCATTAAGTCTGTTGTTCCTAATTTGCTGGTTTGTCTTTTGTCTTTTTGTGTGAAATCTTTCAATGACAACAATTTAAATACAATTTATGAAGCTGATTGTTATCTCCCTCAATCAAGGGAGTAGTTGCATTGGTGCTGTTCTCAAAGGAAATTTTAAGTAAAGCATTTCACTAATGGTTACTTTTGAAAGTTTGCATACCATTACTTAAGCAAAATTTAAAATTCACTTAAATAGTAAATGTAGTATAAACTAAGGTGTTATTAAAAAGTAACACTTAAACGAAATCCAAGGAAATATGTTCTCATTATTTCTAGTTCCTGTTAATTACATCAGATTTCCAGCTGGTGTTACAAAGTGATTAAGAAGTAGCAGAACACTATGCAAAACACTACCAACTTTATCTTGCTCCCCATGTAGGTTTTGAAAGCAACACTGGATTCTGAGTCATAAATCTGTGCCTTACCTTGACTGAAGGGAATTTTAAATTTTAAACAGAACAACTTTTCTGTCTAACGCAGAGACAACTTGACCCATACATTCTTATGGTTCATTCCCCAGTGCTAAATTATGTTGATGTAGCAAAACTGCACTATAAACACTTGTAACTGATCCCTGTGTACTTGCCTTTGGACTGTTTGACCGTGAGCAGTTTGCCCTGTATTCAATTTAGATGATATATGTGTAGGAAAAGATCAGGAAGAATAAGAGCTATGTGGAGACTACTTTAGAGACTACTTTGATGTCAATACTTTTGTAACTAAAATATTGAGCAAGATTATATACAACTAGTGTTAGTGTCCTCTCAGCATCCCAGCTTAGCTCTTTGCTGGAATTTAGGCCAGAGTTCTTGGATTACCCAGTACATGACTGTTCTGCATACTGCCTTTGTACATGCAATTTGTGCAGTTAGTTTTGAGCAAGAAAACAGTCGAGGCAGCCAATTTATTAAGTGAAGTGAGATTTGCTCTTGCTTGTAAGTCTTTTATTTTGCCTATATCTTCTGCGCCCCGTTCTCACAAATGCCATATGCCTCTGTCAAATTTGGAAACAGTCCAGGGTTGCTACTTGGATTTCTAAGGCTAAATCTCACCTTGCACTGGAAGCTCCCTGGAGTTCTCTTTCACAAGAAGAGCAAGTTCTCAGTTCACTTGCTGTTGACTGGTTTCTTTTATAGTACTTGTTAGTGGCTAGTTAATGGGGTTTTGGCAGCGCCATTCTCATTTTAGCTTCTCTTTCCTCTCCGCCTCCTCTCTTCTTCAACTGAAGAATCACAAGAGCGCATAATCTCTAACTGTCTGTGTCTCATTGGGCACTGACAGATGTGCAGCCCCCTTGTCTAATTCATAGCCTTTCACAGAAAGTGCCATGCATTAGACCCACCCTCCTGACCCAACAGACATTCGCTGTTGGGTTGGGAGGGTGGGGATCAAACTCCAGTTTGGAGCCAATGCAGCTAGGAGCTGCAGACACACAGCTTCTTTCCCCTAGCCCCACCCCATCCCTCCCAGCTCCACTGCTGTCTGCATTATCATTGCGGGGGTGGTGGGGAGAAGAAAGGGGATGCTCAGGATGGGGTTTGCACAGCTTGTGCTGGAGTGGGAGTGGGTGGATGAGGCAAGGGGGCTCCAATCCATCTACCCCCACTCCAGTGTAAGTTAGGCAAACCCCAACCTGAGCTCCATCACCTCCCTCCCCCCTCCCCAACTGCAGACAGCACCAGGGGTGGGGCTGGGTGGCATCAGCCTAGCTGCCTGAGCATACTAAAGTTGAACTCGCTATATTCACTATGCTTAATACAGAACAGGAGATTTTGAATTATCTTTTGTATGGTTAGGAGTTTACAGGACAAGCTCTATGAGGAGATACTGAGGGACCTTGGACCTCTTCAACCTCTGCAAGAGAAGGCTGAGAGGTGATCTTGTGGCCGCCTACAAATTCACTGGGGGGATGCAGCAAGGGATCAGAGATGCTCTGTTCACCAGGACACCTCTTGGGGTAACAAGAAACAAGAGTCACAAACTGACAGAGAGCAGATTTAGGCTAGATCTCAGAAAAAACTTTTTCATGGTAAGGGTGGCCAAAATTTGGAATAGGCTTCCAAGGGAGGTGGTGCTCTCCCCTCCCTTGGAGATCTTTAAGAGAAGGCTGAATAGGCATCTGATTGGGGTCATCTGAAACTAAGCCCACCAGGGAACACAGGGACTACCACCACTGCTGGCCTGCTGAGCAACCCTTGCAAAGCCAGCAGGATAAGGCACTTAAGGGAGCCCACCCCTGCCCCAGCCCTGGACCAATCTGTGGGCAAGGCAAGGGCCCCCAAAGGGACACTTCCCTGCCTGTACACTTATGCCAGGAGCTTGGGGAATAAACTGGAGGAACTTGTCCTCCTGCTTAACACAAATAATTACAATGTCATAGGGATAATGGAGACCTGGTGAGACTCCACCCATGACTGGACCATGGGTATAAATGGCTATACCCTGTACAAGAGAGATTGAGTAGACAAAAGGGGCAGGGGCATAGCTGTCTATGTCAAGGAGAGCTGCGCATCCCTGCAAGCAGATATTGGTGACCAGGGTGGACGACTGGAGACCCTCTGGGTTAAAATCCATGGGGAACATGGCACAGGGGACATGATGGTGGGAGTCTACTACAGACCTCCCAGCCACAGTCAAGAGCTTGACCAGAAGTTCACCAGAGAATTGGCTGAGGCCGCATGCTCCTGATCCATGGTTGTCATGGGAGACTTCAACTACCCAGACATCTCTTGGGAAGAGCACTCAGCTAAATCCGAGCGGTCGCAAAGCTTCTTCTCATGCATGGATGACCTCTATCTGACGCAAGAAGTCTACGGGCCAATGAGAGGTAAAGCATGGCTTGACCTGGTACTGGCAACTGGGGATGACCTAATCAGCAATCTAATGATAGATGGGAAGCTGAGTGACAGTGACCACGAGCTGATCACTTTCAGCGTCTGCCATAAAGCTGGCAAGTCAGTCAGCAATACAGAAG